GATCGAAGATGGAACCTTGTTTAGAAGGATGTACAATGGTCCATTAGCGATATGTTTAGGACCAGCAGACACCGAGTACGTTCTAAGAAAAATGCACGAAGGCACTTGCGGAAATCATTTCGGTGCTGAATCATTGGTTCAAAAGGTAATTAGAGCTAACTATTACTGGATCAACATGGAAAAAGATACGAAAGAGTTTGTTCGAAAATGTGACAAATGTCAAAAGCATGCACCAATGATTCACCAACCTGGGGAACTGATCCATTCGGTCTTGTCACCATGGCCATTCATGAAGTGGGGAATGGGCATCGTCGGCCCCCTTCCATTGGCACAAGGTAAAGCTCAATTTATTTTATTTATGACTGACTATTTTTCTAAGTGGGTTAAAGCGCATGCTTTCGATAAAGTTAAAGAGAAGGAAGTCATCGACTTCAGTTGGGATTACCTCATATGTCGATTCGGGATACCGTCCGGAATTGTGTATGATAACGGAAAACAATTCATCGACAACAAAGTGACCAAATTCCTCGAAGATCACAAGATCAAAAGAATTCTATCAACACTTTATCATCCTAGCGGAAACGGGCAAGCCGAATCAATCAACAAAACCATCATCCAAGATCTTAAGAAGAGGTAAACCGACGCCAAAGGAAAATGGAAGAAAATTCTGCCCGAAGTTCTTTGGGCATATCTCACAACCTCAAAATCCAGTACTGGGGCTACCCTATTCTCATTAGTTTATGGGTCGAAGATCTAATACCTGTCGAAGTTGGAGAGCCGAGTACCCGATCCCGATATGCAACAAAGGAATCAAATAACGAGGCCATAAATACGAGCCTAGAACTATTGGATGAAAGGCGTGAAACCGCCCTCATCCGATTAGCTGCCCAAAAGCAACGAATCGAGAGATACTACAATCGAAGAACTAATCTTCGATATTTTAGGGAGCAAAAGACCTAATAAGCAATGCCCCGATTTCTAAAAAGTCACGGTCACCCCGCGCGAGAACTATTATCTCGGACAAACCCAGATAAAATGGGAAAACAAACCCAATGGGTAACTCTCGAACTAAAAGGCTACGACCAATTGAACACGGCTCGGAGACGTCCAAAAACTGTAACAAAAGTAGGCCTTCGAAAAAATAAAAATTCTTTCACAACCGGTTCTAAAGTCCACCCTCGGAAAAATCTCAGACTTAAGATATTTTCCGGGAAAAACTTTGATAACATCAAAACCCGATAACGCCTAAACCTAGAAAGGAAATAAAGGCGAAGTTTGTTTGAACCCTCGAACACAACCTTATTTTATGTTAAGGCATTTTCAACCTTTGTAAATACAGCAAAGCAAAAGAAAAATATGAGAGCCGAAAGGACAACGAAAGTTTTATATTTATATACAATAGTTTTTTTTACAAAGGCCAAATCGGCCTAAAAACAACGGCTAAAAAATGTCCTTGGGAAAAATACAAAAGAAACATCCTAAGAAGCTCGATCTTCATCAGAGGTTGTATCTCCATCCTCGGGATCTTCTCCGTCTTCAGACTCACTCGAACTATCAGAGTCTTCCTCAGGGAAGGCCAGCTTCCGGGCCCTGGATTCCTCTACTCTGGCATTCTCGATCTTAGCCGTGACATCGAACCCCTGGGCCTGAACTTCCTCGAGGGCTTCCCTTCGAGCTTGCCCTTTCGCATGTTCGACCATGCCTCTGGTCTTGGCCTGATTGGCTTCTACATCAACCCTAAATTGGGCCACTTTAGCATCAACATTTTTTATGGCCACGACCACCTCGGATCTAGCCACTTCGAGTTCATTGGCCAAGCCCGCCTTATCGAAAACGGCCAAATCCAACCGAGACTGAAGCCCATTTATCTTTTTGACCTGCACCAAGGCTTTCTTTTTTGCAGCTTGGAGCTGGGCCTCGGTCGACTCCAATTGAGCATGGACGGTCTCCTTTTTCGAGGCTAGGATGTCCATATTCTTTTTAAACTCTTCCACCTCGGCCTGTATCACATTCACCTGTGTTTGGAGCCGCCCGATTTGTTTGAGCCTCTGTCGGACCTGCATAATCGAATCGTTAGTAGTTATCTCCAGTTCATCTTCACTATCATGAAGCACTCGAAATACCTGCTTAGTCATCTCGACATGCTCATCCTGAGCCGTTACCAAATCTACCCGAAGCTTCTCACTAAGGGACTTGAAGGTATCACTCTTCTCAGTAAGGCCCCGAATCTCAGCCTCATGCTCCTCCCGAACTCAGAGGAAAGCCTCGTGATGCAACACCGAAGCCTACAAATAAAGAAGAAGATGTTAGAATTATCTATAACTCTAAGTATAGAAGAAACAATTAAAGTACCCTTGAAATTACCCGATTCAGAGCATGTTGGGCCTCATTGAAAAGGCTAGCGGATCCTACCGTGTCCATCATGGCTTGGTCATCCTCGGTCACTAAGCACCGAAGGTAACTAGCAATCCCCACGGCGGGGGAGAAAAGACTCAAGCATCCTCTGGGACCAAAAGCATTATTTTCCGCCTACGATCGGGTTGACACTCGGGGCCGGGAATTGGTCTACTAGTTTGTGGCTCGATGAGGATCCAATAGTATCCGATGACGGTACTTTCTTCGGTACCGATAACCCACTAAACCCGCTAATATCCTCTGAAGCAGCGAACTCGATCCCATCCAAAAAGCCATGAATATCAGTCTCCCGGTGAACAACATGTTGGCCTCATGAATCTTAGCATCTGAAATCTGAGGGGATCCCGAAATATCAACCATCCTGAGCTCGTCCCTCGAGATATTTTCCGCTACCCGCGGAGCCTTGCCCCCGGTCTCCTCTTCAACCATCTCGGCTTGGGATGGAGTAGCCTCAACCCTTCCTAGTTCAGAAACTACACCCAGAACCCTCTCATCTACCTCCTCCGATTCAAAGGATTTTTGTATCACCACATTGGACCACACATGGGCCACAAGTGAAGTAATATTTTCCTTTTATTCTCCGGACTCATCCCTCAATCGGCGAATGGAGTCCGAGATCATAGCATTGGTGTTCCATTTTGTCTTGCGAGACCTCCTTGCCAATTTTTTCTTTTTCGAGCGTGGGGAGCTTAGAGCCCCTTTTCTCTTTTTATCCTTGTCCTGCTTGGAGCAGGTAGTTGGGGAAGGACTTCTTCACCACCAGATGAGGGCCTCATCACGACGTCCTTCCCGAGACCTACAAGGGGAAAAAGATAATCAAGTTTGAGAAGGAAACCTAAACGATAAATCGATTTAAGGGAGAAACTTACCGTGATTGCGGGCCTCCCATCGACCTTTTTACAGTTCTATCCAAGCACGCTTAGAGTATGTTTTCTGCGACACCAGGACCTCGACCCATGGCTTGAGTCCCGGAACCGGTTCCGGCATTTGGGATACATCTTCAACATCGAAAACATTATTTCATTTCTAAGGAAATGGCATATCTTCGGCAGGGATCAGGTCCAAAGTCCTTATTCGGACAAATCGGCCCATTCAACCTCGGTCACGGGATTCGTCTATGCTCGAGAATGGGGCTTTGTTGGTTCGACGAGCAAGCTTGATCAGTCCCCCTTGATAAATTCGAGGACTGTAAAGACGCATAAGGTGATTGAGGATGAAGATGCACCCCTCGATTTTGCTTGAGAAGAATAGGAGGAGAATCACAATTCTCCAAAAAGAATGATGGATCTGGCCGAGAGTCATATCATATCCTTTACAGAAGGCAACAATGACTGGGTCTAAGGGACCCACCGTGAAAGGGTAAGTGTAAACGCTTAGGAACCCCTCTACGTAGGTAGTAATCGCCTCCTCGGGCGATGGAACTACCACATGTTTGTTGGCCCAGTTGCATTCCTCTTTAACCTTTTCGAGGATTTTTTCGGTGATTGAGCACCTGTACCTCGAAACTGGCTCGCATCGACCCGGTACCGAGGAGGCCTTCTCGACCTTAAAATCAGAGATGGTTGGGCACCCCACCGGAATGAATTCCTCAGAGAGGGGCTCCTCCACAGCCTCATCGCCGGCGGGGCGTGATGAAGAAGAAGCCTCTTTTTGCGGCACTACTTTGGAGGTTTTTGCCATTGATGAACGAAGAAAGATGAAGTAAGATAATATGAGGTTTGGATATGAGAAATTTGGATGTAGAAATTATGGAGCAAAGAGAGTTTTTGAAGAAGAAACAAGAAAGAAATCTTTGAATGTAAAGTTTAAATGAAGAAAAGATTGGGCTCTTATAGGTAGCTGACGACAGTTCGGAATCGATAATGGCCGACCAATGACTGACATGTAATTAATGCCTTGGTAACTGGACCGACGAGATGTTTCGTTGCATGCGTCATAATCGGGCTCGTCGCTGACATCACTACCCATCGGGTCGGAGTTCATAAGTTCATATCGTTTCTCGCTATCTTCTTTCCGAAAAACGAGAGGACTATCTGTATACAGCCAAAATAGAGTTTGCCCTTCGTATGACTGTTCGAGACTGTAACATAATCGGACAAGGTTCAAGCTTATATGACATCGAATCATGATGCGAGGTTAGATTGCCAGGTTCGTGATCCCAAGACCGATCGAGATCGGCCGATATTAAGATCGAGATCGGCCGATATTAAGATCGAGATCGGCCAAGATTGAGACCAAGCTAAAAAGAGATCGAGCGAGACCGAGGAAGGTTTATCGAGCCCGAAGACAGAAAATCGGAATATCCGCAATGGGGCTCGAATCACGGTAGAAATCCCGGCACATATCAAGAAAATGCCAATAGAATCATAATATTCACTTACTAATTTTTTTTGAAAATCTCACAATCGTGGGGGAAAATACAACTAGTGTAGAAAAAAAGGAAGAAAAAGAAGAAGAAGAGAGAAATTGGAGAATTTTATTACTGTCTCATTTTGACTACTGACATTCTAGATAATTCGTAACGTGTGAATTCGACTTATACCAGAGCACGTAGAGCTAGTTGGCAAAATGAATACACACACTGCCCACCTACCACACAACAGGTCAGAGAGGTCAGTCCATTTCTCCAATAAAAACACACTGATTTCACTTCAATCTGGCCATTTCCATCATATCCAACTTCTCAGTATCGCACGCAGATTGGAATTCTCTCTCTCTCTCTCTCTAGCCATTCAAGGGGTTCCCTGAGGTAAATTCATTCTCTTTCTCTTTTTCTTCTTCAAAAATTTCTGAATATATATTTATTTAATTTTTCCTATTTATGTGAGTATTCGATGTTTGACTTTTGTCTATTCATTCGATTCATTTTTGCTTGATTTTCACGCTGATCGGTATCACTAGGCTAACTTTGGATTTGATCCTGATACTGTTCGTATCTCTTTATGATGAAATATTGGATTCAACTTCGGATATAGCAGATCTAGAGTGTTCTAGAACTTTCTCTTTTTAACCGTGTCGTGTCTGCGGTGTGAGCTAATTTTTCTGTGGTTAATGATTGTTGAATAAACGTAGGTGTATTAAGATTTCACCTTGCGAAGATTCTGTCTCTGATGTGTGGTTCGATCTAATTAGGTTTGGTTACTCTGATTCAAGAGGAGTATTTGCCTTTTCGAGCGTGTGATTGTCTGCTGGAGTTTAGGAGTGACGCACAGGCATTTCTTGTAAAAAAGATTGTATGTAAAACTAGTGGGGGAACCAGAAATTGATATGAAAAAAATACAAGAGTGACACCTACGACTTGAACCTGTGAAATAAAGCAATTTTTGAATCCTCTTTACCACTGCAATAGAGTCTTTCCTTATATCAAGGGGATTTTAATAGTTAATATATATCCAAAAAATTCAATTCTTGCCCTATCTGCACAAACCCTCTTGCCTCAGCTTTAGCTCTGTCCCTATGTAAAACGTATCACCTGCGTGTTGCGCGCGATTGTATCCTGCTGTTAAAAATTGTTTACTGCCTTTATTTGATGGCTCTAGGATTAGAAAACAATTTCTTTTTTCTTTTTTTCCTTTTGTTCTTGTTCTGTTTTTCGCGAGTATTTGAATTATGAGAGAATTGTTTTTTTCTTTTTGGTTGTTTTGGAGCGAATCAGAGTATTTTGTGAATGTTTGGGGTAAATGATCCATTGTTTAGTGTTCTATAAAACAAAATTTGTGTTTTCTTTACTTTGTTTTATTTCCAACAAATAGTAGTTTTTTATAGTGGTGGTGCCCGTTCCAGTTTGTGTGCACCTCGACTATTACATAGAGTACCGACTATCTCCCTCCGGTATAGGTATTGTGTAACTTTGCTCTCAAATAGTTAGACAGATTGGGAAAGAATTACCTAGCATTTGTTTGTGTTTGTTGGGATTTGAACCATCCAGTGTTATTAAAAGCAAAAAGCGCAAAAAAACTCTAACGTCTGTTGGGGCTTTAAGCGCAAAGCACAAATAATGTGTGAGCTTTAATGAAAAAAGGCGCAAATGGAGAAAAATAACAAATATGTATGTGTAGTCCAAGATTATATTTATAAGCATGAATACCAAATATATGGACAAAGAAATTGAAGAAAATTTATTGTAAAGTGAAATATCAATTGCTTAGTGTCTCTCTTCAAGATTACGCTCATTGGCAAGAAAAAGTATGTCTTAGAGCCTTGATGACAACACTGAAGCGCCTGCTAAGCGAGGCGAAGCGCTCAACATGTTTTGAGCCTCGCTTCAGGGCTTAAGCGCGCCTTTGACTGCTATGTCACTCCTTGGGTGCTATTTCCGGAAAGACAATTTTGGCTTGTTTGGAATTGTAAGCAAACATGTCGAAGTGTTCTTGAATTCCCTCTTTTAAATATTCAGGCTAATATGGTTGAGATGAAGAAATGGAGTACCTCACATTTTGGTTGTCACTTTATCTGATAGCTTGCTTTCGAGATGAAATGTAAATTATCTGGCTTGTGACTGAAGTCTTGTTTAACTGATTGTCTGAACGCAATTTTCAATTTGTAAGTTCAAACTTGTTTATGGGGTGTTGTCTGTCATCTTATGAAGGAAGTTGCATATTAAACTATTGATGTGCTTTGTATTGGCTCTTATACGTGTTATCTTGATAACAGACTCTTGTATCATAATTTTCTAGATCACATACAAAAATGGTGAAGGCCGTTGCCGTCCTTAGCAGCAGTGAAGGTGTTAGCGGCACCATCTTCTTCACTCAAGATGGAGACGGTAAGTTTAACTTTTATGTATGGTAAAATGGTTTATTACTGCACTTATCATGGGTGATCTCTAATTGATGAAATATATACAGCACCAACCACAGTTACTGGAAATGTCTCTGGCCTAAAACCCGGACTTCATGGCTTCCATGTCCATGCCCTTGGTGATACCACAAATGGCTGCATGTCAACGGGTAATTTTATCTACTGAAGAAGGGGACATAGAAATGAATTTTAGACAATTTTTCATTTTGGATTTCTTCCCTGTAAACCTGCAGGACCACATTATAATCCTGCTGGTAAGGAGCATGGTGCTCCTGAAGATGAGGTGCGTCATGCTGGTGATCTTGGTAACATCACAGTTGGAGAAGATGGTGAGCATTCCTTGTTTAATAATTGAAACTGAACCTCATTAAGTTATCCTTATTTTATTTCAAATAAAAAATCTGCAATTCGGAGACTAATTATCTTCTATTGCCTAGTGGGTTTTGGTTTGACATGGTGTATAGTGGTAACCCCCTGCTTTGTAAGCTCATTCCACTGCAGTAAAGGTTTACCCGTTATTCTATATCTAGAAAAACTTAAGTATTTTGCACGATGAAGCCAAAATTGATTTCAAAGATGTCATTGCCTGAACNTGCAATCGTTGCAAAAAATTTCAGGTACTGCCTCTTTTACTATTACCGACAAGCAGGTAAATTTCTTTGTTGAATTCTAAGCTTTAATCTTGTTCTACTCTTGTTTCTGAATTGATAAGCAACCCGAAGTTTTGCAGATTCCTCTTGCTGGTCCACAATCCATCATTGGAAGAGCTGTGGTTGTTCATGCTGATCCTGATGATCTTGGAAAGGGTCAGTTCCCCAACTCCAGCATCTAATACTTATAATGAGCTAGGATGGCATACTTTTATTTAGTATAGGAGAAATGTGGAAGACAAAAGAGACTGAAGAAGTAAGAGACAAATATGACCTTGATATTCAGCTTTTGATTTAAGATTGCGGCCAACCTTCAACTCTAGTCCGTAGTGCTTGACACATGATTTTACCTAAACTTTTACGTCATGTTTTTCTTAATGGGTCAATTTAGAAGATTCGGTGTAGTTATTGAAAATATTACAGATCTGAGAAAAGAAGTCCAAATGTGATTGTTTGTGTGATATGTTCTAGGCTAATTTTGAAGAAAATGATGAAGGTTAATTTAAAGAAGACTAGGCAAAGTGAAAAAAAGGGCTCCAATCTAACCATGATCACACTAGTAAGGATCCACTTTTATCTTTTCCACATCTCCCCACGATCCATAAGATCTCATCTTTTTCTTCCTTCGATGGATTTGCCACTCTGTTTATTGAGTAGAAATAGAAAGCCAGGTAATTGCTGTCTCGAAAATTAAGTGGGAGGTTTGCATTTCTACGTGATGTTCAATCTCCTCAAAGAATTAGGATGCGATCTCTATATATGCCCTCTTGGAATGGATTAGTGTTACTTTATTTTTGTAATGACAAAGAAATCCCTGAGGGCAGGTGGCACATGATTCGTAATTCAGTTGTTAATCGGCCTGCCCTCTATCCATCTTCATTCAAATATCAGGCCTTTGCATATGCAGAGTTCGTCCCCGTGATGTGCGCCTAACCAACACATCATGTGTTGCGCTCTTACCACTAGTCCAAAGCCTTGGGTTCAGGGATGAATTGTTGTTATCCAAGTTTTATTTTGAACTTAAATCTGGAAATAGGACAGTTTATGGACTGTGTCCATGCGATGTGGGGTGGATGGAGATAAGTGGGTCAGATTGCTAAGATACTAACTGCCAAACCCAATTCTTAAGTTTCTTTTTGGACGTTGCTCTAGAAATTCTTTTTCCATGTTACTTGTTTTGGTTACCATTTAACCATGTCTCTCTCTCCCTCTCCTTCTCCCTCTCTCTCTCTCTCCCCTTGTCTATATAGTACAAAAACCTAGTTACTTGAATGCAGTCAAGAGAACAAATTCTGATTAATTCGACAGTGATGCAAAGAGAGATGATCTGATGAGAGAACGAGAGGGATGAGTTTTGATTTTAGCCGGAAACTGGGACTTCTAGTAGCTTGAAAGAAAGGTGGACTGAGAGAATATATTACAATGATAAGTTATTGACTTCTCTTTTTGCCTGTAGTTTAGTCGTTGCGAGGCTTTTCCCTCTAAAATTGCTAACTAAACAATTGATGATTGAGGCTGGACTAGTACCCATAGGTTAAACAAAAGTTTTTTTTTTCCTTTTAATGTGTTTGTATACTCAGCGTGGTTGGAGAAAGGAAACTGTCCCCCAGTTTGCAAAGTGTGAGGTGACATGCAAATATTCGAAGAGGATGGTCAGGATTACCAAATATCAACTTGTTTTAGAAAATAGAAGGTAGGGAAGTTGACTATAGTTGCAAATGAACAAAATGGTCATATGATGATTTGAGGATTATGGACCTTTTTTGCTGTATTTTGGTACGAAGCTCAGTATTTGCACGCAAAAGAACCTGGTGCCTGGTGTAGGAGCATCAAAAACCCTTTCATGGAATAAAAAGATGATAGGGTTGAAATATAGTGTACTTTTCGTAACATATTTATTACTCACTTTTACTTAATTTGACATAAAAATTTGCTGTTGTGCTGTTTTAGGAGGACACGAACTCAGTAAAGCCACTGGAAATGCTGGTGGAAGGGTTGCTTGTGGTAAGTATTAATTGTCTAACGTCACTTACCTTCTGGAACTTTATTCGTTCTCTATGTGGCTCATTTGCTTTTAGTCATTTCAGTTATGCTTCGTGGTTACATTGATCAACTATTGATTGTTAGCTATAGTCATTAGTTCAATCTGTGTTTTACCAAATGATTCTTTTAGGCTAGTTGTTTTTCATTAGTGTTGCAAATAATTTAGAGAAAAGTTGTTGGCGATGTGTGCCTAGTCATGGGATAACCATGAACAAGCAAAATAGAAGCATAAAAGATTCTTTTGCTTTCAAATTTAAGTTTAACATTAGCCAATGTGCTTTCAATTGGACAACTTTGAATCATCTGCTTTGTTGAGAATGAAAATAGAGAATCATATTGGCCATCCTGGTTTTGCCCTTAATTGTGTTAGTAGTAACATGTGGGTATTGTCACTCTTGTCAGGTATCATCGGCCTCCAGGGTTAATTACTCATGTGCCGTTAAGATTCTCAGCTACTAGTGGAGGGTATCTTGGAATAAGGTTTCATTGCAACTGTTGACTAGCGTTGTTTTCTATGTTTTATCATGTGATACCTTTTGTTTTCAGTGTGTGAGTTGTACTAGTTTTTGCCAACACAACATTAACCGTAATAAAACATAGTCCATTAGCATTGCTTATTTCTTAAATTTGAATATTGTCATTTCAATTGAATGGTTTCGTAGCTAGACAATTCATACTGATGGAAATCAGAAGTGCTTTTGAAAAAAATACTTTTGGAGAGAACTAGTTTGTGTTTGGCCAATTATTCTGAAAAGTACTTTTGAGTAATAATTTGTGTTTGGCCAAGTTTTTCAAAAAGTGTTTTTAAGTATCAAATTACGAATAAGGACATGAATAGATTTACTTAATAGTTAATATTATAAGTAAATAAATAATTTTAAAAATTTGTTATTACAAGCAATAATTAAATCTTTTCATTTTATTTAAGTAAAATATGAAAATAAAATTTAAAAGTACTTAATTCTTTTAATATAAGTTAATATATTAAAAATCATTCAACAAATATAAATTCACACCTAAAGTCACTATATATTAGAAAACTATCCTAAAAATAATAAGAAATATTTATACATTAATATTCTAAGTATTAGGTTTAACGATTATTTTGGTATATATTATATTTTGTTAATGATATTTTTGGTAAGAAGAAAAGTCAAAACTTGAAAAGAAGTTACTTTTTTTCTGCTTCTCAAAAAATATTTTTGCTTCTTTTCAAAAGTATTTTTTCCCCCAAAAAAAAACTTGCCAAACACCTAAGTTAGGGAAAAAAAAAAGTGCTTTTGAAAAAAAAAATATTTTTAGCTTCTTGAGAAGCTTGGCCAAACAGGTTGTGTGAATATGAGTTAAAGATGGCAAATGGAAATATACAGACATTTTAAGCACTATATAGTTTGTATTTTAACTTGTTTCTCCGCTTGCCTTCCACCATTTCATGACGTCTCAGCTGGGCTAAAACCACTTCAAAATTCCTTGTCATTGCTTGCTACATTGCCCGGCGGGAACATTTTCATTGAAATCCCTGATATGAATATAATTGCTTACCAACTACTGCTGCAGTAACTAACTGGGAGATTGACCTATACCATGTGTGCCAATAAGGACTCCTTTATTCTTTAGATTCTTTCCGGGAATATGTTTGGATCAAGAATACAGCTTGTCCATGAATCTGAAAACAAGAAAAGGACAACAACATTTAGTAGTAGTTCTTTTTCGTTCTCCTTTAACTTTACTCTATTTTTATGCTGATGCGAATCTATAGCCAGACTAAAAAGAGTCCTGAACATCTCTTGACCTAATATAGGTATGCCAACAACTAATTTAGCTGAGATACTAATAAGTATAGGGATCTTTAAAAGGATAAAAATTACAAGAGAAAACATAGTTGTCTTTGATTTTTTTTTTTTTGAAAAGCATTATAGAGAATACAGTGACCAAACAGATACGTCTGAACTTGAGTGCCTTATTCTTTTGCTGCAACTCAGCATCAGTAAAATCCCTATCATTATAGGGGTGGCAAATGGGTTGTTTGGGCTGAAGTTGGACGGGTCAAGATGAGTTGATTAAATAAAGGGGATTTTTTCATTTCTATACATTATTTGAAACTTTATTACGAAAAATGTTCATGTTTTGGTATTTACCCGACCTAAACACATTTTAATTTCAAAATATATACAATTTATCTTAAAAAACTCCTAATCTATTATTTGTGCATTCAATCAAGGGATTTAGTCGCACCATTTTCCTTTTTTCTCTCCTCTCTCCCTTCTTCTCTCAAAACAAAGTTTAAGTGTGATAGAAATTGCCAGATGTGACATAAAATTATCACTCACAAAGCTAGCTCCATTACTAACAACTCTACAAATAAAAAGTGGCTCTTCCTCCCTAAATATTTTCGATATTCTCTATGAGCAGATTAGCTAAATTGAACAATCACTGATCCTACGATACTTAGACTCTAGTCCTTCAACGTCTTCAACTATTAAACGATCCGTTCCTAAGCATTTCCTTTCTTCTGTTTATACCAGAACAACAAAACCAACTAAACGGCGTAATTTAGGTTTTCAATAGTAATTTCTAACACTTGACCAGTAAATCGCGATAATTGAAAAGTCAACCGAAAAGTGTAGCTAAAGCTTAGATCTACTCTAAAATCAACAAATCAGATACAATAACATAAACAACGCCCAATAAACTTACAAGTATTAATCATTGAATTTAGTTACACATTATCTGTACTTGTACTTTGTATTCCATTATAGATAGTGTATGAAATTCAATGCACCGAGTATGCACATTGACCAGTAAAATCTCTCCAAATGGAAGTGATTCAAGTTGCTACCAGAAAGCCATGGGTGGTGCTTTGAATTGCCTTTGACACTATAACTTATCTACAACTTTCATACATTATTTCTACCCAATTAAATATAACTACAATATCATACAATTTAAATACAATTTTTATACAATTTTTATACAATGTCTTTTGTATATTTTGTATCTAATTTATACATAGTAAAAATAAATTTCATACAACTAATTATATATTATACAACTTATCTACAACTTATCAACAACTTATCTACAACTTTCATACATTATTTCTACCCAGTTATATACAACTACAATATCATACTACTTAACTACAATTTTTATACAAATTTTATACAATATGTCTTTTGTATATTTTGTATCTGATTTATACATAGTAAAAATCAATTTCATACAATTAATTATATATTATACAACTTATCTACAACTTATCTATAACTTTCATATATTATTTCTACCCAGTTATATACAACTATAATATCATACAACTTAAAGATAATTTTTAAATAATATTGTTCAACTATCATACAATATTTAAATAAAAAAAATATATATAAACAAGAGAATATAATTTTCTACAATTTTACTACAATTTAGTAAGTATAATGTATGTCATGTCGTCTTCTTCTTCTTCTTCTTCTTTCAATCTGAAATTCAGCCAAAATCAAGTCTAATCTTCACCAAAATACCCTCAAAATTGAGATATAAACTCCAAATAATATTCCCAATTATTTGCAACACCCAATCTAAACAAATACTAATAGTTTTTGAAAACCCAAATTCGAATTCAAAGTTTCAAAGCTTTTTAATTGTTGTCAATGGTGGAGAGTCAAAAACCTTCAAAATTTATTGATTGACAATTTCAATTTGAACACCAATTGTGCAACATTACTCGAATTTGAATACCAATTATGCAACATTACTGAAATTTGAACACCAATTGTGCATCACCTTCAGCTCTATATTACTGGAATTTCAATAAGCATGGAATTGTTGCTCTCTTTTCCTTTGCTCTACATTACTGGAATTGGGAATTGAGAGATAGAGAGAGACGTAGAGAGAGAGAGCGCGCGTAGGAGGGAGAGAGAATAAGGATGAGAAATAATTGATTCCTAATATAAAGGGATACTCATTTAATTCCTAAAGTATATATAATTGGTAAATTTGTATATAGGATGTAATTAAATTAAAACTTGAGTAGGGAGGGTAATAAAGATTCAAATAGTGTATAGGAATGTAAAAATTCCTTAAATAAATAGGCTAATGCCCAACCCTGCCCAAAGTTCATTTGGGTCAAGATGAGCTAAGTTAAGATGAGCTAAACAATGAGAGAAATTCAAAAATAGTCAGATTTACAAGTGTTCATTCAAAAATAGCCACAGTTTCAAAAGTAATCGAAATTTAGCCACTTTTCATGCGAAAACACTATTCAAATCCGAAAAATACTCCAGCATATACTGAAATTCCAGTATAATATACTGGAGTTCAGTATATTATACTGGAGTTCCAGCATAAGTATACTCGAAGTTCTAGTATAATATACTTGACTTCCAGCATAATATACTGGAGTTCCAGTATAATATACCGGTCCAGCATAATATGCTGGAAGTTCATAAACAGGTGCTCCAATCTCCAGTATATTATACTGGAACTTTCCGCGTGTTGGAATTCCAGCATAATATGCTGGAAGTTCATACATAGGTGCACCGATCTCCAGTATATTATGCTGGAACTTTCCGTGTTGCAGCAAAATAGTGGCTATTTTTCAATGACTTTGCAAACGTTGGCTATTTTTGAATGACTAGTCCGAAAACTGGCTAGCCATGCTATTTTTACCTAAACAATGGGTCGTAACCCAAGCCGCCCAACTTGACTCAATATTTTCAATATTCTCAATTTTTAAACAAGTTAAAATCCAACATTTTTTTAAAGAAGTTAAAAATATATTCATAAATAATCTCCTTTGACTGAAATAACGATACGTTGTGAATTATATTGCATGAAAGTTTAGAAGTTTCTGGTTTATCTTCTTTGGTTGAAAGTTTTTGGTTTATCTTCTTTGGTTGAAAGTTTCTGGTTTATCTTCTTTGGTTGAAAGTTTTCCAGGTTTTGTTTATTCATAGTCAATATTTACATATTAAAGTCCTTTTAGCAAATTGACTTATATGTTATGTAAAACAAAAAAAAATGTTAACAGAATAATTGAATTTTTGTGTGTCAATCATTGAGTAAAAGTTGAATATTTTTGATACGTTTCAAATAGAGAATATAATAATATTTAAAATGAGAATATAAGATATAACACTTATAAATATTTGTTCACCTAGTTGTGTGTCCTTAATCATCATATCATCATATCATATCATATCATCATATCAACATATATATNCTTTTTTAGTTACGTTGTGGCCTTTTCATATTTTTGCTTTAATTGTTTTGCCTTTTGAGTTTCTAACGATTATAACATTTAAATGTGGCCTTTTCAGATTTTTGTTGCACTATATAAAAGCACAATCAAGTGTTAAATCACTTATTAATCTCTTTTTTCCTTGTCCTTGTCAGAAGTTACAACAACAACCATCCAGTAAAATCTCAAAAGTAAGGGGTCTAGGAAGAGTAATGTGTATGCAGACCTTATTCCTATCCCTTTGGAATAGAAATACTTTTCCGATAGACCCCCGGCTTAAGAAAACGAAAAAGACAGTCCCTGTTAGAAGTTCTCTCCCATAAATAACTATTGTGGTATATTTTGCTCTTACACCATTTTAACAGGTAAATCTATTTATCTGTTAGACCA